TACTTGATTTACAAGACAGAAGAGTTCAGAGACATTTCTGATTCTAGATATCCCCCTGCTCATGCCATAAGACATCCCTGCAAACATTGCCTTGTTGCCAAAATGCATGTGGTGCATTGACCTTGGCTGCCAGTCAGATGCCCACCTAAACGCTTTGTCCCTCTCCCTCCTCAGCAGGACAAGGTGAGGAAATATGATGAAAAGCTCGTATGTCGAGATAAGGACAGGGAGATCACTCAGCAACTGCAGTCCGGGGCAAAACAGACTTGACTTGGGGGAGATTAATACAATTTACTGCCAATTAACTACAAAGTAAGTACAAAATAAAACCAAAACTAAAACCACCTTTCCCCTTCTCCCTCACCTTCTTTCCAGGCCCAGCTTCACTCCTGACTCTTCTACCTTCTCCACCCACCTAGAGTGGTGCAGTTGGATGGAAAATGAGGGTTGTGGTCACTTCATCTCTCCTGCTCCTTTCTCCTTGATGAACTTCTCCCACTTGGGTCCACCATGGGCCACAGTTCCAGCCAGAAAAACTGCTCCTGCATGTTCTCCTCCACAACTGCAGCTGCTGCCAGGAAACCTGCACCAGCACAGGCTGTGGCTTCCCTCAGGGCACATCCACCTGTTCTGGTGTGGCATCCTCTGCAGATTGCAGGTTGGTATCTGCTCCACTGTTAACCTTCATGGGTTGCAGGGGGACAATCTGCATCACCATGTTCTTCACCACAGGCTGCAGGAGAATCTGCTCCAGTACCTGGAGCAGCTCCTGCTCTTCCTTCTTCACTGATCATGATGTCTGCAGGGACGTTTCTTTATTCCTCCCTCACTCCTTTCACAGCTGCTGTGTAGCATTTTTTACCCTTTCTTAAATATTTTATCACAGAAGCTTGGCTTTGACCAGTGGCTAATATTCCAGATGGCTAGAACCATCTGACTGACACAGGGGTAGCTTCTGGTATCTTCTCACAGTGTGTCACCCATGCAGCCCTCTCAGCTACCAAAACCTTGCCATGTAAATTAAATACACTTCAAAGGCAGGTCTCTACAGTGCTGAAAAGCATGTTCTCCTTCTGTGCCTGTTATTCATCTACAAAAACCAAGTTTTTCCTTCTTATTAGAATATGTACTGCATCTCTAATAATTATTAAAATGAAATTCTAAAAAACTTCATCGATTTATGGTAGTTTTCTTTCACTTTTTGTAGTTCAGATTTTTCCATAATAAATAATTCTAGATACTTGCATTATAACCAAGTTTCCTCTCCTCTCTTCAATCTTTAGTTGCCTCAGTAGAGTCACTTGGTTTCAGTGTGAGTTCAGCTTCACTGGTCGCTTTTCCTCACTCAGTGGCAATGCACACTCACACTTGCTACAAAGCTGTGGCCAACCCAAATGGAAGCTGACGAATCACTTCACCTGGTTTAATCTGCCCACATGGGCTACACTGAGCACACTACTGCCAGATTGTGTCAAACAAAGGTAGATATTTTTTCAAATCAAGTTGTGAAAAGAAGAAAACCATTGTATTGCTGTATGATGTAATTTTATTTTTTTTTCAGTGAAATGCCCTAGCATCATAAAACAGAACACATTTTCTAATCTTGAAGCCAGCAAGATTGGGGAAAAAAGAAAGAAATCTAACTTATATGTAATTTCCATACTGAGACTACATTCAGAAGAAAAAAACCCTAGATGTAAAACGTAAGAAGACATCACTTACACAGCTCTCTTAAAAATAAAATGGACATATCATACAACTCACATATGGTGCTTTGCTAGTATAATATGCTACAAATAGAATTATTCAAATGCGACTATGCAGCTTTTCTATTACTTAAGACTTTTTCATTCTATTATGTTGCAACACCTTAATTATTTACTTCACAATTCATAACCATACTACAAAATAACCTGTTCTCCTTTTCTGGTGGCTTGTTTCTCAGAAAGGAAGCCTTCACTGTGGCTTTCTTTGGAAACACCAAGCTCTTGGTTTCAAATACTAAAAATATTCAAAGCACTGCAATATACATTCACAATAAGATTAAGCCTCTATTTTTCAAGTACGGGTCTCATGACTCAGTTAGTAAACTAATAGAAAGAGCTGGTTACTATTTACTCCTATTCTCATTTATGAGAACGTGAGCTGGATAGCTGCAAGACCTCATAAATGCCCTCATCCATTGTAAGCTGAATGTGCACCGTCATATCCTGCACAAGAGTTACAGTAACTTGAAGTCTGGGTTTGTTCACAATATTAAAGGACAGACCACAGTAACTGCAGAACTTTTCATACAAACAACACTTTCAAAAGAATATTCGTATTTGTAGAACTGCATAATCTCATTTTCAGTGGGGTTCTCAGTTTAGAAGTACTATTCCACTTATTTAAGATGGCTTTAAAAATACAGTATACATAACACTTTGTTACAGGTGTCTGAAGAACATTAGATCAATCAACATTTCAACTCATTGCATTAATAAGGAAAGTAAACAGCAGGACTTTTGGAAAAGTATTCAAGTATTTCCCTGAAACACTACATAACAAAAAACAGATCCTAAACTTTTTATGACTGTATATCAAAAGGAAATACCATTTGCAAATGCTTTTTGTCATGTAGAGCAGTATGAATACTACTTTGTAGCGAAGACATAGCACACCATTTTGATATTACACAAAACTGGAATGTAAATAACTTCAATAAAAAAAGAAGTCTGCCATTTTAAACAATTTTCAAGTGCTTCAGTAATAAAACGACCAATCATGATGGCTTACACAGACCAAATACATGAGACATGAAACTACTACAAGCTGAATGACAGAAGTACCAATAAATATACTTGAATAGAGAACCATTAGCTGTTCAGATGCAAAAAAAAAAAAAAATCAAATGCAGTAAGTTTTAAAGATAACTACACACTTAAGAAAAAACAGAAGAGAGCAGGGGCTACCTTCTGATCTTCAAACAGGAATAAATTTGTACAAGAGCAGCAAAGTTTAGCCCCAAGTCTAGACGCAACATGTATGTGCCACAATACACAAATCCATACACAACGTAAATAATCACACCATAGCTATGTATGACAGTCTGGTTTTGGTTTTTTTTTGCTATAAAAACAAATCAGCACAGTGAATTCATGATTTGTCAGATGCCAGTTTCTTTCCTGGACTTAAATTATTTTCGTTTCGTATTAAGTTAAATAAGCATTATTTAAGAAACTTTCAACCATAAATCATATTTTTAAACTTAACATTTCAACATCTTATTTTGCAAAGACATTTTAATGTATGTAGCAGAATCTCCAAAGAATTGCATATTGAAGAGGGAAACTTTCATATGTTAATTTTAGATATAAAAAAAATTAAAACTTGCTGGTGTTTCAGAAGATTTTTATATTTCCCTTGGCCTGTGTCTTCCTGGTATTTTGTAAGTATCCCTGCGAGTTGCTTGCAAGACATTTCAGTTGCAGTCTGTGTGTTATTTGGAACCATCCAAACAGTCATCAAACCTTCTATAATCCCAAAAAGCATCATGCAATGAAGCCTTTATAAATAGAATATATAGGGATAAGATATGATCTGTATACACATGTGCTTTTATTTTTCAAAGTATTTCTAAACTCTTATTGTTATTTCTTAAAGCCAGGAATGTGTTTTTGAATTGCATTGATAAGTTGCAAGGTATAGTCAGAATTACAAAATGAAAGATTCTACTAAAAAAAGAATATGTGAAAGACAACACTGTTGTCCAGCATTTAAGCCACATGCAACTACGTAACACTCCCAGCAGAAAATGTCTTCTCAGACACTGAAAAGATCTTGTCTTAATACCTGGGGTTGACGACAACAGAAAGTTCAATGTTTTATGACATTTAGACATTATTGCAACACCAGTGCTAACTTAGCTCTCCAGAAAAGCACAGAGAATTTATCAGTCATCGTGACTACATATACATATGCCAATCCTCTCTTTTCTAACATAACTTAGATTACATTGCTCCACGATACAGTTTAATGATTACAATTGTTTTTTAAAAATGAGACAATGCAATAAGATGTCTAAAATGATACTAAACTAACAAAAAAAAAAATCTAAAATTTTAAAATACTTGTCAATTTGACTAAAATGCAGATTTACTCAATTTCCTTGAGCTTTTCAAGTTTTCTTCTCCCCATTGGAGGAACAACGTCTATAGTAATTGTTCAACATTACTCTGGCTGTAAGCATCTTCATCTTTACAGTTTTCCTCGATTCCCCTTGCAAATAGTTTCAATAACTGGCAGTGAACCCTGGAAAATATGAAAATCAATTAATAAGAAATAAACGGGTACTACATATTTAATTTAATAATCCACGAATTCCAAGCAGTTGGACAAAGTTCCTTGCTCCAGACTACAAAAAGTGTGCTCTCATTCTTTATACAGTCCTCCCCTGCAAAGAAGGCTGCATGCTTTCATGTGTTCATCACTCCTGCTACTCCTCTGTTCCACACAAAAAGTTCTAAGGGGCACTGAGATGAGATGAGCTGACCTTATACAATGTACAATATTTATAAAAACTATTTGAGACTGTTGAATGATTGTGTTTTAATGGAACACATTTGCATGTAAATATTTCGTATTGTGTTTTTGGTTCTCTTTGTTCTAAAACCAACAAAAAACCCAAACAAAAAAGAGAAAAAGCACTTCTAATGTCACAAAACTCTATTCCTTTCTAATCTGATTATCTGCACAAATGCAAACTTGTTTCTCCATATGTCAAGGTTGGAGATAAGACTGTCCAGTGCGTCAAAAACACAAAGTATGGGATATAATCACTATTTCTGTAAGATAGGAAAAGCTAGTGCTCAGATTAATGAGGTTCTCCACTCATTTAAAAAGAATCCTCCCAACAGCACCTTTCACCTTCAGCACTTCAAGCGCATAATATCAGTACATAAGAAGTAAGTAGGACTTCAAAGGTAGGGCCATCCCTCTGTCTCAGGGTGACCATTTACAATAAATATGGTTGGAGTATTCTCTGGAAAGGACTCAAAAAAGTAACAAAAAAAAGTTTATTATCAGATGACTAATTTTTTTTATGTGGGGGCACCTTTTGGGAATGTCTTTATGAGCATCTTTAAAGTCAGTGAAAAGACTTAATATGTTTTCTGGTACATCAGGAGAAAAATCAATGCTTACCTCACTTCAATCGCTGAACTGTCCAGAGTTTCTCCATCACAATTCCAGGTGCTATTAGCAATATTACAGCAACAGACTGGATGATCTCTGCAGAACTGGCCAAAACGTTTCTTTCCTATGTCTGTGACATTGCTTTCGTTGTCTTCTAAAAGCTTTGATGTAAATTGAAAACTCTTCACCCGATAAACATCTATAAATGAGAAGTCAAACTACAAAGAAAAAAGAAATCAAAACAGGCAATTACAATTAGTTAAACACATTTGATGTGTAAAGCAACTCGGCATGCAGCATTTCGTATTCAAGAAAGCCTGTCCATTCCAATTTTCTAGAGAAGCTTACCTGAGGCACAGAATTATTTTTGTTTTAAAAACTGCACAAGTCAGAAGCAATAAAGCAAAAATGGAAACTTACTTTTCAATGGTCCTCTTCAAGCAGCTGCAAAACTGCCACTTTATAGATAATCAAGTAACAGGTTCTGAGATTAAGTGGGGTATAGAAACTATTAAAAATACCCTATAAAAACTATTATAACATGGAATCAAAGTCAAAAAGTGTTTGGATTGGATCTTTGTACCATCCTCAGAACCTGTTCAACTAGTCCTTAAGACACAGGCTTTTCTAAAAGCTGCCTGCTTCTGCATCTGGAACAATGCCCTGAAGGTGAGAATTGCAGGCAAGGCGATCACATCACAGAGCTGGGTGTACTCGAAAATAAGACAGGGCAATATTATTACATTCCAACAAAATAAGAATAGTTTAAAATAGTAATTTAGCTGGAAAAGTAGGACAATTATGCGATTGCTCCTATGAACACAGCTTGCAGATTTACACTACAGTATTGTACAAATGCTTTAAATCAGGCTTTGTAAAGGAAAGACACAACAAAATTAGAGGGTGCCCCAACCTGCCCTGAGAGCAACTTACCAATATGGACTTAAACATTTAGCAAGCTGTAATAAATATTGGCATATCATTGAGCAAAGGCAATGGAGTATGTCTGTGTGTCTATGGGAAGGGAATGGCAAGGAAGCAAAAAGTGAACTAAAAATTTACCCATAAACCAGTCAAAGAAACAGTTTACCCATAAACCAGTCTGTATTAAAGTACATTGACTATTTTCTTCCTTTTTCTTTTCACATTTTCTTAAGCTCTCCAACATGGTTTCCCACTATTATGGTATTATGGTAGACACTAAGCTGAGGTGAGGACGAATGTACAGTCCTACACTTAATCTACACTGCAAAACAAACATATCCCACAGAGAAAAAGCTGGGAAGTGGGAAGCACTGGAAGAGGAATCACAAAAAGTATCGGAGTTGAAGGGACCTCTTAGGTCTTAAGTTTCCTTGGCTTTTAACCATAAAGAAACTGTGAAGTTGTCAAACTCCACACTTGGAAGCAGTGGCTCATGGATACAACGAGGCTCACTAAGCAGTGTGTGTGTCCTAACAGTTTATTTATAAAACCCGGTATCCACGGTTGCACAGGGCCACCCGTGAATGTTCTCAAGTTTAAGCAGAAGGTAGTCTCTTGACAGATCTTGAAGCCAATTTGAAAGGTAGTCAAGGAAGGCTTCAAACAACCAAAAATATCAATGGAACAGTGAGAGTGAGTGGGATGGAGTGAAGGGAAGAAGAAGAGACTGAGAATAGCAGGAAGGAATGTCCCAGGGAATAGTAAAGAGGAAATGCAGGAAAGAGAATCCATACTGATTCTTCTACAGAGGAGGAAGTATAACATCATAAGCAAGTGAGATTTATTATTGTTTTTATAGCTAGATATGACATTAGCCCATTGTTCAAATAATTTCCAAAACATGTTAATAATATCAGGGTGTGATAAATATATAAATATTAAATATGTGCATTCACAGCCATAGCTCTGGTTTCAATGATACCACAATCTAAAGCAGTGATTAATCTTCACCTGTAGCTTCTCCTGACGGTTACAACATATGCAAGGAGTAATTCTGAAGCTGAATGCATAAAGCCCATATCCCAGTCACGTATTTAGATATAAAAATTCTGCTAAAAGCCTGCAATTTATGATCAATCTACAGTTCTGATAACTTTCTCCTAAACCACATTTTTATACAGTTTACATAAAGCGATTTATTCCTCACTACATCTTCTACCTCAGGTACATTATACTGCTTTGGGCAGTTTTTCACAACAAATACATGGGGGTACAATTGTAATAAAATCTCTTTAAATATCATCCATACACGGAAAATGTTACAAAACAGAACTCAATTAGAAAAACTGAAATTTTGTTAGAATGCTATGATTAAAGACTTGACTTAGTTATTGTTTTCTAATGGTACACATGCTGAGATTGTCACTCAAAATATATAAACTTTTTTTTTTTAACTGCTTTGTGGGTATTCTTTTTGTAACATAAGAATATTGATATTTACAACTTTGACTCTGGAGAATTCACTGTCAAATGGAATACACACCTGATCATCTTGGTTTTTATGTCTGAAAAGATATCGTAGAAAACCAAATCTGGAGCATTTACGAACTAGAATGAGGTCAGCTGAGCCATCTGCCAAATGAGCTGCTGGTGAAAGACCTTTTGGACTTCGTGGACAGGCACAGCTCATATTTACTGCATTGATGGCTAGAAATCTCCCTTTAATAACCTTCCATTCTTCTTCATCTTCTGAAAGACAACAATAAAGGCACAGAGATAGATTATTTGATCTACTCACAAGAACACTAAAAAGCAATCATGCTTGGCAACTTAAAAGTTTTTACTGGGCATAATCACGCACTGTCAAACACATACCTGAAATAAACTGCATTAAAAAAATATCTATTTTTCATATACTAACAAAGTTGTTTTCTCTCTTCACAGACTGTGATTATCTACTAAAACTGCTCACCACTTCTGACATATGCATGTCAAATTCTGGATCAATGCTATTTGCGTAAACACGCAAAGCCCTAGGCAGGGACAAGGCGGAGCTAAGTTACAACATTTGTAGTGTGAAAGTTCAGGGGGATTTTTAACTTTTTAAAAAATTTTTCTTGCTCTTCAATATGTTAATCTTAGATGGTTTAGCATTTTGTTTTTAAATCAGTATTCTTCTTCTGCCCCAGTGTCACAAACTATATTTTAAAAAGACAAAAAGGGAAGAGATGACTCAGGGTTCAGCAAGGAGCAGCAGGCAGCAGATCAGGAGTCTGCTTCCACGCCAACCCCAAAGATCTGAAGATGAATTCTATTAACAGACTTGAACTTTCCTGTGCGTAGATCTTCAGAGATTACTGGATAACAATATAAAAATTTGTTTTCAAAAATGTGAAACTGTTCTGTCAGAGATTAGACCTAGACTGAGCTTAAATGTGATGGGATCAATACTACCAAGAGCAGAGGAATTTTCTGTAAGAAAGAAAGAAACACTGGCTGGCACAGCACAGAGTTGTCATCTAAACTGTATTTCTTCAATATAGATTAAAATAGATTTTTAAAATGCTTTAGCATTTTTAGATTACACATAATTGCCCTCCTCACTGCAGTAAGTGAAAGTCACAAAGCAGCCATAACGCTCCTCCTCCTCCCAGTACAAATAGACTCAGATATTTCAAATGAGCAACTCCACAGGAGTAAGGACTGCAGAACAGTCTGTGGAGATACACGTGGTTCTAAGACTGAAATTCGGGAGTGAAGTGCTATTGTTGATGGAGGTAAAACTAAGGAATGAACAAAACATGATAAAGTTTGTTTATATAAACTTGTTAAAGTTTGATCATCAAACCACAGCAAAGCAGAGGGTTTGAGGCATATTAACTGGCACGGACTTAAAAATCTAACATTATTCAGTTCCCCACACTTGGGTTAACTTACAGTTATTTTCAGGGTACTTCTTTGATGAGACTGTGCTATTTATTTATACATTTATGCTACATATTTCATGTCCTGAAATTCTGATAGTCTTTAATGTCTTAGTTTTAGGAACTTCACATTTACTTTAGAGAATCATTATTACAATTATCTAGGTAATTTTGGAACTAAAGGCTATGATGATTCATTTAGAATTGACTTCTTCCTAGTTTTTATACAGAAGAAAAAAATGTTTGGAAAGTATTCTGTAGTTTTTTGCTTTTTGAACTTTTCTCGCTTCCTTGAATTTTCATTCATTGGTACTTCTTACTATGCACTCTTTAATAACAGAACCAAGAAAAATAGAATTCCAGGAAAAATAGAATAGGATTATAATGTGACAAAAGACAAAGAAAACTAAAAGCTTCATTATTTACCCACCTAGACTGCCCTCTCTATTTCCTAATAAACAAATCAGTAATAACAAGAAAGAAGGCAGCTCTTAAATTCAGCATTTTTGCAACATTTGCCAGAGTGGCTTTTCTATTAATAGCTTTACTGCTGATCTTTTTGTGCTGCTTTCAAACAGGACATTATATTAAGAAATAACTCAAATCAGATTTAAAATATGTATCTTAAGAGATATGAGAAAGACTTAAGTGTCAAACAACAGAATGACTTTGTTCAGGCTGTAGGCAAATTACAAGGCCCTGCTCTGAGATGAAGGTAACTGAACAGAACACAGGAAATTACTAGAACTGGAAACATCTATGTCCAGAACTATACAAATATTTATTTACTCATTACACTCATTTTCTGATAAACAAACAACAAAATTAAAAGAACACCCTTTACTGATAAACACCTTTGTTTTTTATCTGAGAAGCATCACTAATTTAATCTACAGTGTGTCTAAAGATTTGTTAAATTTTGAAGTACGCTCACTAATAAGTAAGTCTCAAATTAATTAAGGTGAATGCTTGTATATGTTACTGCAATGAATTGTTTTCTCTTGGTGGAAAGGTACCATTCAGTGTAAATTTCAGTGTGTTACTCAAAAAAAAGCTTCACTGTTCAAGTAAGAACTAAGTGAGGGTATTTATCACATTTTAAATGACTAACTGTTTTCATAACCATTCTGCAGGGTGCATCACTGTAATAGCACAAATTACCTAAAATATCTTCTATACAATAAAGCAATCATAAGCAGGGAGAGCATAAATGGCACTCATTTCAGCTGTCTATTCTGTATATATACTGCAAGTTGCTGAAATCAGCCTAAAGTAATAACACTCAAAATCTTACTCAGCACATGCACAGAGACATCTGCACAATACAAAGAAACATGTCCAGTGATAGCCAATGCAAGCATCCTTCTAAACCTATCTGAATCTTACACAAACCAAGAAGGCACAATGAAAGAGTCAGCCAATACACCCTGCTGAGTAAAAAAAACTTACCTGAGGTAGCAATTTATTGCTAAATCCTTTTTATTGCAAATCAAGAGTAGCTGATTGTTGTTTGCCTACCAGTACTGCATGGAAAAGAGACTGGACTGCAAAAAAGTCAGCTGCCAGAAGCAAAATGGACTTAAGTAAACAATATCCTACATAATCAGCTGCTTAATGTCTTGTGCAGTGCCAGCTAAAGCAGTCTTGATAGCTCACTAACCTGTAGCTTTATTCTGCCTTTGCTTCTTGGCTGGGTCAAAGCTAACATAATTGCAGATTAAAAAAGAACAAAAACAAAAAACAAAAACAAACCACAAGACCAAACAAATGCACCCCCTCCAAAAAAATAAAACAATCCCAAAAAACTCCCCCTCCCAAAACCCCCAAATGAAAACAAACAAACAAAAAGGTTGGCAACTTCTAACTACAGTTATTTCTCAAAAATACAGGTGTTTTTTTTTCTTAACAAAAAACCTATCAGATTTATCTCCTAAGAAAATACTAGGTAAAGCAATTTCTTTAGCTGAATCTGGGTGTAAATTAAAACACCTCAAGAAATACTCTTATCTGTCCATACATTGACTGTACCAAAGATCTGAAAGGAGTAGCTGGGATGAAAGCACCATACATAGGCACAGGCAACAGAAATTCAAGTTGGCATAGAAATCTATATACAGTATTTATGCTACCAATTAATCTCTATAGTATGATGATACTCTTTTTGCTAGCAAATGTCCAGAACAAGTACTGTGCAAAATAACTGTAATTATAAGATAATCTAGGTCAGAAGCTTTGGGTCAAGAAAACTACAGTTTATGCACTGGCCTTTACAGGGGGAAAAAAAAAA